TGACTCTTAGTTTATATTTGATGAAAGGATATCTGTTTTTAGTGCCCTTTATTCTCTTTCTTAGCTTGATGTTTTCTTCTCTGGCCTTCTGACTTCTGTCTTTGAAATATTTTAGTTTGTCACTTTTTTCCAGCTTGGTGTTGGCTTTGAGTTCACTGTGGGAGACACAGTTGACTTCCCTTCCTTCTTCTGGATGAATCCCAAGGAATCTCCTCAGTATGTGGGTTTAGTCCAGCTGCTCCTGTATTTCCAGTGGAACTGGGTTGGGCTTGTGGCCTCTGAAAGTGATAATGGAGAACACTTCATCTCAACTCTGACACCAATGCTCAAGGAGGAGGAGATCTGCGTGGCCTTCACTGAAAGGTTGAAAATGGAAGATATTAAAATCACAATCAATAGATTAATTTGGATTTTCACTATCTGGTCAAAAATTGAAGTGTTTATTTTGTTTGGAGACTCTACTGTTACTAGCAGTGTGCAAGTGGTTTTTTTTCCAAAAATCATAAGCAGATCATTTAGGAAAATTTGGATATTAACTTCCCATTGGAAAATTAGTATGGTGGAATCTCAAAATGTACTGAAATTTATAAAGCCTTTTCATGGGGCTTTGCATTTTAGGGACCACTCTGGGGATGTCACAGAATTCAACCATTTTCTTCTGTCTTTAGACCCCTTGAACCCCCGGGGAGATGTTTTTCTCCCACTATGGTGGGAATTTGTCTTTGGCTGCAAGATCCATAAATCAGGAAAGATTCCTCCAAAGGTGAAAAAACAATGTACAGGAAAAGAGAATGTGCAGAATCTTCCCAATTATACATTTGAAAAAAGCATGACAGGTGAAAGTTACAATATCTACAATGCCATTTATGCTCTGGCACATGCTTTACATGAAATGTATGGATCTAGAGTTCAACCAACCATGATGAGGTTTGGAAAGAGGATCTCAACTGTCCAGTCATGGCAGGTAATTTCTGTGGCTTTTGACTCAGTCCATAGACATTTAGATTGAAAGGTCCCCATATGAATTTCTTCAGTTCCTGATTAAATGTCTGCGTACTTGCATTCCAATTCATCTGAGACCCCGCCCTTTTTCCGTTTACCATTTGTGCTATTCAGCTTGCTGTGTGAAAGGAGCTTCTGATTAATAATGGAAAGAAACTAACAAAGGAGAGAAGCAGTCTAGAACTAAGGAGAAATTTCTTAAGGAATGATTTACATTTAGAAGTTATGGATGCTCCATTGCTGGAGTCAGTTAAGAAGACACAGGATAGCCACTTGTCTAAAACTGTAGAGGGTCTGTTGCTTGAGCAGAGGGTTGGACTAGAAGATATCCAATGTCCCTCCACTACTGTGATTCTGTTTCTATGTCAACCACAGCACAGAGCAAGATTCAAAGTGATCCTGATGGGTTCCTGGTTTGAAATTCATCAGAATGTCCTGGAAAATAATGGAAGAAAATAATTTGGCTAAAAGTTAAAAACAAACTATGATTTAATACAATAGCAGAGTTCGAAGGGACCTTGGAGGTCTTCTAGTCTAACCCCCTGCCTAGGCAGG